GTGCTACTCTTTTATGCCATGTGGGTTTTGAGATGGCTTGATTATTCACACATGTGTTGTGGTCCTATGTAGCTTGTGGTGTTATATCAACGAGATGGTTCTCGTGATGCAGGTCGTTTATTGCACCTTAATCGTGCTCGAGTTTTGTAGCACATGGCACTATCTATCTCCCCAGGGTTGTATTTATGCACTTGGCGTGCTCATGGTCGATATCAAGGAATTTTGTGGGTTTGAGCATTATGTCTTGATGGGTACTTCCCAATTGATTATTATGTGTGGATTGGGTGGCACGCTGCAACGGGTATCAATGTTTGGATCGGGTTACATGCCGCAACGGTATCATGTGTGGATAGAGTTGCACTCCCTAATAGTGAGATGTCGAATACGATTCCTTATACTTATTTTGTGTGCCTTGTTTCTGATCTCTGAGATAGGTTCATAGCATCTGTTTGGCTATTTTATTCGTTACGTGGGCTGGGTAGTTCTTTGCCAGAGTTCATTCTTCCTTGTGGGTCATATTCGAGTTGTAGCTCGTTGGCGCATTGATAGCATCATATGAGATTTTAGATGATGTTTGAGGTAGCTTATTGCCCGAGCAGCTTGTACTGGGTGAGACAAGGTTATTGGACCTGTAGTCATTGCAATCAGATTTATGTAAGGTATATTAAACAAAAAATATCATTATTCAGTTCAGATTGAGGTAATGGTTCTTGCTAAGCGGAGAGAATCCATGACTTATTGAATGGCATGTGGTTATGAGCTTCTATGTGTTGTTTTCACTGTTGCAGTATCGCGAGGGTTGGATCAGGTCTTATGCGCATATGAGGTATACTACGGGCATCAGGTTAGCGAATTTGCAGCTTCTACACTTGGAGGATGTTATTATGAGCATACGAATAATGTGGTGCATTGTATGGCTTTAGCATGGGTGGATAATCATTTTTGGAACAGTGGGTTGAGATTGATACGGTGTTCGTATGTTAGAATCAAGTCTCATAAATTTCTAATATTGGAATTTGGTTCTAAGGCTTATTGGCTAAGGTAGCAGGAAGGATCTTCAGTCTGACTTCAGCTAATGTGCTCACGTGGGTTGTGGTGGCACGGGTAGGTTCACGAGGTATTAAACAATGATTTTGAGCAACTCCGAAATGGTTCTTGGCACGTTCGAGGACGAACGTATGTTTAAGTGGGGGAGAATGTAACGATCCGACCGGTCGTTTTGAGCTCTAGCGCCTCGTTTGTGAGTTTGAGGATTTGAGTAGCTTCACTTCATGTTTTATGACTTTTACGTGTGGTCGGAATTGAATTTCGGGAAGTTTGGAGTTGATTTAGAAGGAAAATTCTCAATTCGGAAGCTTTAAGTTGGAAGAGTTGACCAAGGTTTGACTTTTGAGTAAACGACCTTGGAATTGGGATTTGAATGTTCCAATAGGTTCGTATGATGATTTCGGACGTGGGCGTATGTTCGGGTTGAGTATCGGGTGGTTCGGGAGCATTTTGATGCTTGTTGTGCAATGTTGGCATTTTGAAGGTTTTAGAAATTCCTAAGTTTGATTTGAAGTGTACTTTGATGTCCGCTTGGGATTTCAAGCCTTGGAATCGGTTCGTATCCTCATTCGTGGCTTGTACATAAAGTTTGGTGTCATTCCGGAAAGTTTAAGTATGATTCGGACGCATTCGTAGAAGTTTGAATGTTTGGAAGTTGCAAGAAGGATTTTGATCGTCGATTCATGATTTTCATCGCGAACGTGACGAAGAGGTCATGAACGAAGAAAAGGAGCTGGGTTACCCTTCGCGAATGCGACAGAGAGTCGCGAACGCGTAGAAGGCTGGGAGCCGGCGGACCTGGAGCCGTTAAGCCTTCACGAATGCAGCGCTTATACCGCGAATGCGAAGTCGTAGGATCTGAAGGCTTCGTGAACGTGACCCGATAGTCGCGAACACGTAGAGGAAATTTGGGAAGCAGTATTTTTAGCCTTCGATTGCAATGGTTCTTCCGCGATCGCGAAGAGGAAAAGAGTGACGACCCAGCCGGTCATTTTGAGCATAGTAGCCTCATTCCCCTATTTACAGTTTCCTCTGTGTTGTATTATGGTTATGTGACTTGCCAGAATATTTGGCTTTGGTTCAGATAAGTTTCAGGGTGAAATGGGACACATAGTCCCTAAGTCAAAGACTTAAGTTGAAAAAGTTGACCGTTGTTTGACTTTTGTGCAGACAACTCCAGAATAGAGTTTTGACTGTTCCAATAGCTTCGTATGGTGATTTCGGTCTTAGGATCGTATCCAGATGTTGATTTGGATGCCTATGGGTCATTTCAGCTTGAATTGGTGTAAGTTAGAAAGTTGAAGGTTTGAAAGGTTGAGAAGTTTGACTGGGAGTTGGATTTATTGATATCATGGTCGGATTCCGATTTCGGAAGTTGGAATAGGTCTGTCATATCATTTATGACGTGTGCAAAATTTAAAGTCAATAGGAGTATTATTTTATATGAATGGACATTAGTTTTGGAATTCTGAAGTTCATAGTTTCAATAGGATTGAATTGGGTTGCGATTTGTAGAATCGATGTTGTTTGATGTGATTTTTGGCCTCGAGTAAGTCTGTTATGTGTGTTGGAGCTTGTTGGTATATTCGGATGGGGTTCGGGTGTGATTCGGATTGAATCCGGAAAAATTTGGACTTGTGTGATTGCTGAAGCTTTGTTGTGTCTGGTGCAATTGCACCTGTGCACTTTGGGCCGTAGGTGCGGCACCGCAGAAGCGGCCAATGAGCCGCTGAAGCCAGGTTTGGTTAGGCCAGTTGGGACTGCAGGTGCGGTCAGCTATGCGCAGGAACGGCATCGCTGGTGCGAGAGAAGCACCACAGAAGCGGAAGGGGCTAGCCAGCCCAGGGATCGCAGAAGCGGAGATCTTCTGCAGGCATGCGTTCGCAGGTGCGCAATTTTTTTCCGCAAAAGCGGAATTCCCTGACCTTAGTGGGAACTGCACCTGCGATGGTTTTCTGCAAGTGCGGCGTCGCATGTGCGACTGAGAGACCGCAGATGCGGAATCACTGGTCATAAATAGAGGCCTTCGAGGATTTGATTTTATTATTCATTTTTGGACCTAGATTGCTCGGTTTGTGGCAATTTATCGAGATTCAAGAAATTATAACTCGATTTTGGCTATATTACATGAATCCATTGTTATTTTCATCATTTAATTAGTGAAATCTTTGTGTTAATTGTGATATGTGGAAGCCGTGTACGCGAGGTGACGAGGGTGTACACGGGCTAAATGTTGTAACTTGACTGGTTCTAGCTGCATAGATTCTTTTCATGCCTTTAATTGAGGTACCATAATATGTTATATTCATCATCTTTAGTCTATCTTCACATGATTTACTTGTCTTACCTCTTACTTGTTAATTGCCTTTACATGCCTAGTTGAAATTATTGTTTCCTCTATTCCTTATTCATTATTTAACCTTTGAGTTCCTTACGTGAAGTTGTTAATTCTTGGAATATCTTGTTGTTGAAATTGGTATTGAGCTATAAAGGTTGTGATTCGTGTTGAGGCAAAGTTTTCAAGTTGTGAAATACTTTTCTTGTTGAGTTTTTCATTCTGGTTGTTATTTTGAGACTCTTGTGCATATTGTGGTTGAGCCACGGGCTATTTATTGTGGAAACATCATTATTGTTGACTGCTTTGGTAAGTTGTGATATTGTGCACTTGAAGTGTGATTTGTGATACGTTGTGATATTAATACGCATACGGTGGTATAAGGTTTTGGGGTTGAAACGTATGCGGTGAGATAACATGGGCTTGATACGCGTGTTATTAGTAGGGAAATACTTGAAGCCACGCGATGTGATAAGGTGGGCTAAAACGCGAGTAGCTATTTTGGGAAAATGATTTTTAAAACTAAATGTAAGGATCTCACGGTGATATAAGGAAAGATTGTGAATTGTTTTTTGACTTTAGACTATGAGGCAGTACCTCGGTAGTGATTTTTTTGATACATTTCTATTACTTCACTTGTGTTTTGGTTGCTTGTTTCCTTGGCATATCATTCCTTGTTTTCTTCCATGATGCATTATTGCCTTAGTTCTGTGTAGCTAATCTTGATATATTTCTTTATTGTCTCATTTCCGTTGTTATCATTATTACACGTTTATATACCTGTTTAGTTTCTCATTTATTCCAGTAGGGCCTTGACCTGATGTCGTCACTAATCTATCGAGGTTACGCTTGGCACTTACTGGGTACCGTTGTGGTGTACTCACGCTACGCTTCTGCATATCTTTTTGTGCAGATCCAGGTACCTCCTACCAGTCGAGGCAATAGTGAGACGAGCTCAACTTTGGAGACTTCAAGGTGTACCTGTCGGCGTCTGCATGCCTCGGAGTCACCCTCTAGTTGGTCTACTTCAATTTATTTCCATTTACAGACACTGTTGTATAGGGAGGATCAATACTTATTCGTAGAGATTGGGACTTGTTATCACCATATTTTGGGAAGTTTGTTATATTGAGTTGCAAAGTTTCTTTTATAATAGTTGTTGAGTATTTGAGAGTTTTATTCTTATTTCAGTCATATTCTGCATGTATGTTAGGCTTAACTAGTCTTCGAGACAAGGTGCCATCACGACATCCTACAGAGGAAAACTGGGGTCGTGACAAAACGCGTGGGCAGACTTCAATTTATTTCGGGTTTTGGCTCATTTCTCCACTTCTCTCATGGCTTGGGCGATTTTTGGAGCTCTTCAAGGGGAGATTTCCATCATCTATGACAAGGTAAGTAATTCTCACATATTATAAATTAATTACATGCATTCTACAAGGATTTAAACTGTCTCGACCCAATTTTTCCTATAGGCCGTGATGGCGCCCAACGTTGCTGCTAGGCAAGCCAACAGTGAACTAGCCATATATTTATTCCTTTTATTAATTTCAAAGTAGTTGATTTTTTTTATTCAGTAAATGAGAAGTAGAAGAATTTAATAAGGTAAAGTGTAAACTAATAAAAGTGCAAATACAATGAAATAAATATCCAAGAGCCATAAAGTGTCTACTGGTATGTTTCCAAGATCTGGTGTCACAAGTGTATGAGCATCTAGTATAATATACAAAACATTAGGCTATTGTCTGAAAGAGAGTAGACAGAAAGTAAATACAAAAGAGAGAGAGACCGCGGTGCTGCAGAAAGGACTCAGAGAGCACCTCACCACTATGCCTTAGGATAACAGGGTTGCACACTGGGACGACTACCAAATGCACTTGCCTAAGATCCTGCACGATTACAGAAGTGTAGCGTGAGTACATAAACAACATGTACTCAGTAAGTATCTAGTCTAAACTAGAAGAAGTAGTGACGATCGATACTTACTGCGGCCAATAATAAAAATACAAAAATTCTAAATAGGCACGAAATAAGTGAATAATAATGATAACACAATAGCGAGCAGTGAATAAATAATTCCTTAACTGATAGTAAGTTCCACAATCTCCAAATCAATTTTGGTCATTAAACAAATTATAACTGCTCAAGCCATAAAATAATATCAAGTGTAAATGGGTTTCGAGTATTACAACGCACGATTTATGCCGAGGTCGTGCGGCTTGATCCAAAAATACTGTGTGATAAGGTACTTAGTGATGGTGTTGCCTAGCGACCACATACATGTTGGCCGACATCACGACAACCACTTTAATCGGGTACCCTGCCATAATGGAAGCGACTAGAACTGCCCGCTGGATAGGGAGGTTTGTTTCATTCTGGCACGGGTCTAGTCGGCTGCATACGAAGGTTTGCCATCCCTTCGCCTAGAAGTTTAGGGTGTTCCGCTAAATAGGAACCCCTGCTATGATCCATGGTGGTGGTGGCCCCGGAGCTGCAAGAATCTCAGCTATCCATGGGCGGGATGTATCTCCCCTTGCTAGCTTTTCCAAGTACTGCACAAGCTCAATGTCCTCAAACCCCAAGTAGGTGTTCAGTGTGTTCTGGTCAAATATCACCTTCAGATTCCTCACTTTGGTCACTTTGGTCCCTTCCTTTATATGGGCCACATTGGCATAGAATTCACGGACCAGATACTCCTTGGAATCCACTACACTCTGGGTGAACCACATCCACCCCTTCCACTCTCGAAATTATCTCAAGACCTCTAGATTATACTTTTCAATATCTCAAGACCTCTGGATTATACTTTTCAATGTCTTTCAATTGGGACTGTCGCTCAAAAGTGAGCGATCTCACCGGCCACCACTCTCGGAAGCTAGTGAAGGCAGCTAGACTGACGAACACGTCCTCCTAAACCTCTTTCTTCTTTAACCTCTCAAGGCCGGCAACTATAGTATCACCCATTCGGCCATCATCTGGAATATCATGAACTAAAGTCGATGGTGCCTCAAGGACATGTGTAGAGGAAGGCTCTCAAACCTCACTAGCACTCTCTGAACCCTCGGGGTGCTTTGAGATGTGGAAGGCTCGTCCCGTAATTGATACCTTCCTGGAGGCTTTGATTGGACAGCTGGCTGTTCATCAACCGAGTTGCCCTCCGATGCTCCCCAGCAACGGTGCCAAAAATTGATCTCGTCCAAATTCACACCTCAAATACAAGCTATGAAACGGTCGATTGCAATAGTAATACCCAACAAGGAGTGGGGGTCAATTTTCCACAGGGAGCTATGAGTGGGAGTTAGTAGTATATATTGTAGTATGGGCTTGAACTATCTCAGTTTACTCTTCCACAAATTTGGGTTGTTTCTAGGTCTAATTTAAACTAAGATTCCAAGATTAAGAAATGAAACTAAGAAATTGTTTTTGTTGTTTTTCAAGTTTTGTAAAAAGCCTAGGGATATGATCATCACCTTGGTGTTTGCCTAATGGGATATAAGCCTTAATGCTTATTTTGTTGATCAGGGTGTATTATAGCTATCAATACTTATTTACCCACTCAAAACCTCTCGATCAGAGAGTGATTTTATCCAATTGGCTTTCTCAAGTCCAAATGGGTATTTGCACAAAACGGTTGATAATAGCTCAATTCGGGTTATTACTATCTCTAGGTTGAACCCTTTAATTGGGATTATCTATCTTTCGATTAACCCAATTTCTTGTTAGCCAAGTTTTCTTAGACTAAGTCTCTCTTTCTCAAGTAGAGACTAAGTCAAATGGGCATGAACTAATGTTTGCAACCATTAATTTCACAAATTACAGGATGAACAAGGCTAAATAATAAACACCCAACCATAAACAAGTACTAAATCAAACACCCACAAGGTTTACACACCCACAAGGTTCTATATGCTATTTTTGTGCGTCTCGGTTCCTATTTTCTAAGGAAAGTCTGCATTAGTGCTGGAGTTAGGTAATTCCTTCCAGAGTTCGTTTTCCTTTGGTGTCGCATTCTAATTGGTAGCCTATTGGCACGTTGTGGCATCATATGAAACTTTTGATTATGTCCGGGGTGGCTTATTGCCTGAGCGGTTCGTACCGGGTGAGATGGAATCGTTAGATTCAGGATCAGTGCAATCTGACTATATGGAATATATTAAGGAGCAAAGATCACGATTTGGTTCAGAATATGGTAATGTTTATTGTCAGAAGTATAGACTCAATGATTGGTTGACTCGGCAGTTGATTATGAGTTTCTGCACATCTCTTCCGTTGTGGCGGTATTGTAAGAGTTAGGGTGAGACCGGTGTATGTCATGGGGTGCAATGGGAGCATCAGATTCGTGGAATTTCGACTAAGTTGATCAGAGAATGTTATTGTGGTCCGGTGAGTAAAATGATGCAAGGTGTGAATTCAGCAAGTTATGCAGTCATGTTTGGGTACAACGTGTGGTGATTGATATGGTGATCTTATGTTGGAAACAGGTCGGGCATAGAATTCCGGATGTTGGAATTGGGCTCTAAGGCTTATTTGCTTGAACAAAAGGGAAATATCTTCAGAAATGATCGAGCTAATGTGCTCAGTTGAGCTGTGGTAGCACGGGAAGGTGCATGAGAAGTTAAACAGTGATTTCAGACTACTTCAGTGTAGTTCTCAGCACGTTCGAGGATGAACGTATGTTTAAGTGGGAGAGAATGTAACGACCCGACCGGTCATTTTGAGTTCTAGCGCTCCATTCAGCAGCCTGAGGCCATGAGGAGCTTCATTTCAAGTATTATGACTTGTACGCGTGGTCGGAATTGAATTTCGGGAAGTCCAGAGTTAATTTGGGAAGAGAATTCTCATTTCGGAAGCTTAAAGTTGAAAGAATGAACAAGGATTGGAATTTTGAGTAAACGACCTCGGAATCGGGATCTGAAGGTTCCAGCAGGTTCGTATGATGATTTCGGACTTGGGCGTATGCCCGGTTCGGGTTCTGGATAACCCGGGAGCGTTTTGGCGCCTATTGTGGAAGTTAGCATTTTAGAAGGAATTTCATAAGTTTGGCTTGAAGTGCATTTCAATGTTATCAATGTCCGTTTGGGATTCCGAGACTGTGAATAGCTCCGTATATGATTCTGGAGTTGGGAGCGCGATCGGAAGTGAATTCGGAGGTCCGTAGGTCATCTTGGAGCCACTTGGCTAAATATAGAAATTTGAAGGTTTTTGAGAAGTTTGACCGGAAGTGGACGTTTTGATATAGGGGTCGGAATCCGATTCTGAAAGTTGCAGTAGGTCCGTAATGTCAAATATGACTTGTGCGCAAAGTTTGAGGTCAATCGGACGTGATTTGATGGGTTTAAGAATCGAAAGTAGAAGTTGGAAGTTATAAAGTTCATAAAGCTTGGATTGGGGGTTGATTCACGATTTTAGCGTTGTTTGATGCGATTTTAGGCCTCGAGCAAGTCCGTAATGTGTTTTGGGACTGGTTGGTGTGGTTGGTTGAGGTCCCGGGGGCCTCGGGTGGATTCCGGATGGTTAACGGATCGAAATCGAAATTTGGAAGAGAGCTGAAGGCATCTGGTTGCTAGTGTTTCCGCTTCTGCGGTTGGGTAGCCGCAGAAGCGACCCCGCAGAAGCGTAAAGGGAGCCGCAGAAGCGGTTTATGGTCGAAGGCTCGTGGTCCGCAGATGCGGTCAAGGTTCCGCAGAAGCGGGACCGCATCTGCGGATGGTGGATCGCAGAGGCGAGAATAGGAAACCTAGGGAGGACTGCAGATGCGGTCAGAGTTCCGCAGAAGCGGGACCGCATCTGCGGATATTATACCGCAGAAGCGGAAAAGGGCTAGGTCAGGGGAAGCCGCAGAAGCGGCGGATTTTCCGCAAAAGCGGGACCGCTGATGCGGTATTGCTTCAGCAGAAGCGGAAATACCTGGAGGCAGTAGGATGTTTAAAAATCGGGAGTTGGCTATTTTTCTCACATTTTTCATGGCTTTGGGGATTTTTAGGGAGCTTCAAGAGGGGATTTTCGTCATCAATGTTAAGGTAAGCTATCCCCACCTATTTTGAGTTAAATACATAAACTATGTAGGGATTTGAGCATTGAAATTAGTATAATTTGAGGTTTTGGTGGAAAACCTAGAAGATTAGCAACCTTAGAATTTTTACCACGAATTTGAGCATGGAATTAGAAGTAAATTATATATTTGAGTTCCTAAGGTCATGGGTAATATTTATCTTCGAAAAATTTCGGATTCCGGGCACGTGGGCTCGAGGGCGTTTTAGTCAACTTTTCGATCGGAGTTAGGAATTTCTATAAATTAGATTGTAATGAATAATCTAGCATATATTAATGGATTTGCGTAACCGTTGGCTAGTTTTGGAGCGTGGTGCATTAATTAGAGTCTTCGGAAGGGCGTGAAATGCCGGTTATGGATCTTCGGAGCGAGGTGAGTCTCCTTTCTAACCTTGTAAGAGGGAATTGTCCCCATAGGTGAATATAATTGATTATGTGCTCCTATTTGCGGGGGCTACGTACGCACGAGGTGACGAGAGTCCGTGCGTAGCTACTATTATGCTATTGTCCGGGTAGTTAGGACCCACAGCATGTTATACTTGGATTAAGTATGAACCCATTGATAGATTGAATTGCTTAAGTTACCTTGGATTAGTAAATGAACTTAAAAAGAGATTAAACATCATTTTCCTGAATTGTTAAGAAGAGAAATTGTTTTATTTGGATAAATATTCCCGATAAGTTCTTATTTGACTGATTGAGCATGTATCTCTATGTGTACCTGCGTCGCATGCATGATTCACGAGCAGCGTATGTGTTTATTTATGGAACGGGCCGAACGCCTCGGCAGATTAAATAGATGCATCTATAGGCGCGTCGTCGACCCTCGGCAAATGCACAGTTTATTTCTGTTGGATCGGACCGTCGTCTCGGTGTGATTTGCGCATGTTATATTGTTACTTGAGAACTGAAAATGTGAAATTTGTCCTTCGTAGCTTGATAAAATTGATAAGATAATAAAGAGTAAACCTTGAAAATCCTTGATTATTTGTTGAAGGTGTTTATCTGTTTTCCGGCTTCGTGAATTAGAACTGCTATATAAATCCATGATTTCCTCACATTTTTAGTATAATTGTCAAATGACCTCTAATAAGTGTCCAAGTTGACCATCTCGTCTCTACTTATTCGAGATTAGGCGGGATACTCATTGAGTACACGTTGATTACGTACTCATACTATACTTCTGTGCTCTTTTATTGCACAGGTATATTCATCTCTAGCAGCCACTGGGCGTAGCAGCGCGGATGATTTGGGGGCTAGGTGAGTTGCATTATTCGAGGCGGCCCGCAGCTAGTATAGCCCTCTTCAGTACATTGTATTTATTTCCTGTCCATTGTATTCCGGACGGATGTTGTATTTTATTTCCTTATCAGTAGATGCTCATGCACTTGTGATACCGGGTTCTGGGAAGGTTTGAAGTATTGTATTTACTGCTTATCATTTAAATTTGATTTGAGACTATATTCTTCAATATTGCTAAACTTGAAGGAAAATCATAGATTTCAGAAGTATTAAAACGAGAATTTGATTAAGTAACTTGGTTGGCTTGCCTGACAGCAGTGTCCGGCGCTACCACGACTCTTAGTGGATTTTGGGTCGTGACACATTTTAAAAAACATTGTCAAGAAATGAGCCTAAACTTAGAAAAATCCATGGCCGTTCACGTTGTACACTACCACACGAATTCAACTCCTGAAATAAATGACAAGACTACTTAAAGAACACAACTAAATTGTTTCACCATATGTCAGAGTACATGCTAATTTATTAAAATAGCTCTAACATGTGTACACTTACTTTTTATATAAAAGATACAATAGGAAAAACTCAAGAATCTTTATATTGACAGTGTATGTCCTAAAGACACGATGTCTAACTTAGTAAAATACACCCAAAGGAACAAGGAATTGCATTTTGTCACGCCGTCGGAAAAACAGACTTTGATAAGAAGAAAACTTTAAGGCATGAGTTCTAAGAAAAACTGAATACCAAATCCATCCTATAATAGAGGCTTCTAGGAAACTAGAATACCAAATTACCCTTTCGTTTCTATATAATAAAAATAGATATATCTTGGATTAAAACAGAAAATAGAAATATGGCAGAATAGAATAATTTTTATGAGCATCTCAATATTTATGGAAAGAAACATTCATAGACGAAGAGGTTCCAGCAAACCAATGCAATTGCAAATCAATCTAGGCATCAAGATTATTTAAGATACACTTTAGACATAAATTCTAAAACAGACAACTCTATAGTCATATTTGAAGGAGAAACAAAACATTTTTAATGATGGCATGCTATTCAATATTCTCAACAGAAACAAATCTACAAACATAAACAATATTTTTTAATACAAAAATTCTAACACATGATTTCTAAAATACAGTATTTTAACAACAAAAAATTAAACAAGTTGGAGTAGAATTTACCTTTTTGCGGGGCAGTGAACTGGGCTTGCAAGGTCGTCTCAGATCTACCACTCCTTAGTTGTTGAGAATGTATAGTGAAGACTAAATATTAAGAAGTTTTCCACAGATTGTAAGGCTTGAGATTAAAAGAAAAGCAGTGTATTATATGAACTGAGTTTTTTTTTTGTTGTTTTATGTTTTTGGATTCCAAGCTTTTAAGCTTCCCCTTCGGCTGAGATTTAAAAAGGTATTTATAGGAGATGAAGAGCTAGGGTTTCGTGTTCTCTTTGGGCGGGATTGTCAATTTTCAGGTTTTGAATCTCGTCCAAAGGGACGTTTAAATTTTGAACGTTGAAGAACATGCTCGGGCAAAGAACTCAGAAGAAACGCCAAAAAAGAGCAGAGGATTTTGCACTGAAATGGTAAAAGAAGAAATCAGTGACAAAAGTAGAGTTTACCTCTATGACAAAAGGCTGAAACCACAGCAACCTTTGCATGGAAATGGCGGAACCAATCTGATTTCAGGAAATAGAAGTCTGGAACCTTGTCAAAAAGGGAAGACGCCCAGCTGTAAAGAGATTTTAGGAACCCTAGTATTGTATCTCTATAGTAGTGAGTTAATTCGTTTGGATTGTTAGATAGGATAGATTTTGAATAGGTGTATGTGGAATACTAAGAGAACTTGGGCTATATTAAAATTCGGCCGAGTAGATTTGGTCTTGGAAATAAAGGTCTTTTGGGCTGAGCTTAAATGGTTCTCTTAATTTGGACTTAAAATGGTCCTTTATTTCTTCTAAAGCTTCTAAGTGTGTTCAAATACTTGATCTTTAAAACAAATTATATAATATCAATAGTAGTAGTAATAATAATAATTAATGATTAATAATAACAATAATACTAATAATATTATTATTTAGCAGCAATAGTAGTAGTAGTAGTTAAAAAAAATAATATAGTAAATAATAATAGTAATAACAATTTAACAATAATAATAATAATAATAAAAGAAAAATGGTACTAAAAATAAAAGTATTTGATGTATTAATGACGTAGAAGCTCAAGAAAATTAATTGAAAGAAATGACGGAAAAAATTGGATGTCAACAGTACTCACTATGATAGCAATATCTGTAGCCCTTCAATTAGAAAGAAAACTAGTCTGGTTTAGATCAATGATAGAAGACAAAATAGGCTTGATTCTATTGACGATGATTGTTTTATACATTGTATTACAAAGACTTATAAATCTAAAATGCTCGAGCATGGTTGCATTATCACATTTGAGAATAAGACATATAAAGGTGGAATTGATCTAAGGGATCATTTTATAAGTTGAGAAGATAAACTGGCAGAATGCATTAACATGATCTTTGAGAATTTTCCAATACTTTTAATAGAAAAAATGATGAAGTCCATCAGGCTCAAGTGCCTTTATAGGCTTGAAGGAGTCAATTGCTTGCTTGATCTCACTCTTCCTAAAGGGTGCATCAAGAATGGACTTTGGTGCTTCACTAATAATATGGTCAGACCCTAGATTAGTGTTTGGTTAATTATTAGAGTGATGATCAGTAATGAAGAGATCCTTGAAATAGGTAAAGATGGTATGTTTTATAGCATCACTATCCTGAATTAAATTATTCACATTATTTGTCAAAGTTAAACTTCTATTCCTTCTCCTTCTATTCAGGGTTGAAGTGTGGAAATCTTCTTGACTTTAACTTCCAGAAATCTTCTTCATTTTCTAGGGCTGTATCGTACTCTGCTTGGAGCTTGACCCAAGTTCTTGAAGGAAATTACTGAAGAGATTGCTAGTAGGTCTCTGAATGCCAGTTATTCCGACAATGCGCTATTTTTTTCTATGAAAAATGTTTCCAAAGACTTTTCTATTCCAAGTTATAATAGTAGATTGAATAGACTTGGTGGCCTATGCTAAGCTGGTCCCATTTATAAAACAGCCCTGAACTAGAGATGGGAAATCTTGGCGGTTGCACCATATGATTTCAAACTTCAATTGTCTGCTACCATTGTTAACACTATCCTTCTCTAGATTAACAACTAGGGCAGTGTTCAGAGTGATTTCTAGGGAGATGCGTTACTGAAGAATCACAATATTTAACTAACCACTCATGAGTTTCAAAACACTTATCTAGCCTTTCTAGTATCAAATCGTTGTTGTTAGAATATCTTTTATTAGTAATGGTGTATTTGCTACCTTTATAACCTAGACCTACAAACTTACATTGAGTTATTGATGCCTAAAAGTGTTAGCTCTAGAACTAGTTACATTGTTTACCCCAAACTTATCTCTAGCCCTAAGGACTTCATTAAAATCACCCCCAACCAGCAAACTACCCAGGAGAGTCTACAATATTAATCAATTTATTTCAAAGGATTCTCCTATGAGCATAATTATTACCGGCATAAATTGCTGAAAAAAGTTAAGGGTCACTAGAAGAGTTCAACTTGACCAGGATTTGGACACCTTGTGGTGTAGTTGACACTTTCTTAATTTTTAGAAAGTCATCCTTCCATACTACTACAATTACACCTGAGCAGCCAACAACAGCAAATTGTACATGACCTGTGAATTTCAACTCCATAATCGATTTTCCTCACTAATACCCAAATCCACCTAAAAACCCTGAACTGATTCAACCACGTGTAAGTAAAAGAATTCTTAACCCACTAAAGGCACTCCAACTCAGAGATATGGGACCCAAAAATATAATAAAATATCCTAATCACCAGTACAAACACTATTTCCTCCACCTAGAACCACACTGAAATAACCTTTTACTTTCTGATAACTTATAACACCTTCTTCAGCAAATGCTGATGCTCACTAATTTCTCACTAAATCATGAATTCTACACAAAAATTGAAGCCAATTTTTCTATTTCAGTCCAGTAGTGACAAAATCTCATCACAACCCTAATTCCATAACTGCACTTGCTAAAATTGAGGTCGATTGAAGAGCTTAAGGTGATCGTTCAAGTTTTTTCGGGTAAATGGGTTGAATCAAAGTTTGAAGAACAGGCGGCTCCACCATCATATTCAACTTCCATAGCTTTCGATGGTCAAAATTTTATCCTTGATTCTCATAGCGTTAACACACCCTTATTTTATTTCCTTCACACTTTTCTTTATGATGTGATTTCTTCTATGGTCTTTATAACACCTTGGTTGTTAGGGGAGGAAGTTGATTGTATGGTGGATAATATAATGGTAGTGGTGTTAAATGGTACTATTTTTCTAAGGCAAGATTGCCAATTTTTTCGGGTTATTATAGAGTGGATGAAGGATAAGGTGGAAGGTGAACTGGTGGTAGAGTTTTTAGCTTAAAAGAACGAGGTGGTTTTTGGAAGGAAGGAGATGGTGTGAAAATTATGTCGTTAGATTAGATCTTATTATAATCTACTAGTTATGGGTGTTTGTGAAAAGTTCGAAAATATGGGATATTTGACGCACAATTATTTTTTGGTGGAAATATGTGGCAGTTCTATATAGCTGTTTATGGTGGAGATGGACTTAAAGTGGTGGAACAAAAAGGATATGAATTGTTCATGGACTATGTATAATAGAGGAGATTGAACCGGTTCAGATTTGTTGGGTGAGTTTTGTTATTAGTGAGGAAAATGGGTTAGGGTGTTTAAAATGTCGTCACGTGTCTACCCATAATGGGACCGTTAAATGGGGGGATAAATATGTTTAAATAAATAATAGTAGGGATAGAAAGCATCTAATAGTATGACGAGCGATACATATAACTAATACTTGATAGTATTCCGTTTTATTTAAAATTATCCATCCTTTCACTTTCTCTAATGTAGTCCTTCCAAACTATCTATGGGTTAATTTATATTTGTTTGTTGTGTAGGTAATAAATGTTTCTAGGAGTAAATATGAAGCATTATATAGACTAGGCAAATTTAAGTACTCAACATGTGTACCCTATGAAAAAAATTGCTCCCTTAACATAGAATTCTCAACCTATTCAGTTGAATATAATAGCACGTTTGACCAAGCTGCAAAAATCAGCTTATTTTGAGAAGTGCTTTTTTTCAAAAGTACCTTTCTTAAAAGTACTTTTTGGTGAGAAGCAGTTTGTGTTTGGCTAATTAGTTTGAAAAGCACTTCTGAGCAGCAATTAGTGTTTGGCCAAGCTTTAAAAAACTGCTTCTAAGTGTATTTTTTCCAAAAGTACTTCTCAAAAAAGTGATTTTGGAGGGAAACTACTTTTTTCTGCTTCTCCAAAACTGCTTCTGCTTCTCCTCAAAAGCACTTTTTTTCCTTCCAAATGCTTGGCCAAACACCTCAATTTTTGGTCAAAAGTGTTTTTAAAAAAAATATATATATATTTTTGGCCAAAAAGAAACTTGGCCAAACAGGCTATAAACCCTATTATCTGTTTTGTTTTTTAAAGCCATAAGAAAAAGATTAAAAAGGGTGGAAAAAATTAAGGAAAAGAAAAAAGGGAAATCAGTTCCAAAAATCCAAATAGTGAATAATCCTTGAAGAAGTGAAACTACTACCTTTCATGGAATTACACGTACTCCGAATCTCCTCTGCATTTCCATTCACTTCCATAACCAAACACAGCCGAATTCTCTCCGAATCCGACTGCCCTATTTCTCTCAATTTTTCTGATATTCCCCAATTTTCACTCAAAGTGGATTCCCAAAAGAGAAACGACGCAGTTTTTGACGACGCAGCATGCGAGGCGGAGCGTCACAGACTCGACGCCGAGGCGCGTAAAGCCATGGCTGAAACCTCAGAAAGAGAGACCCAAGACCAAGAAGACCCGAAAGCTTGGAAATGGGTTATCCGAAAACGGATTTGGGACTTAATGGAAGGCCAAAATATAGCCCAATTCCCAAGGCCCGTTCATCATCGGATACCCAATTTTATTGGAGCTTCAGTTGCTGCTAATAAGGTTCAAAGATTGCATCTTTATGTGTTGTTTGTACAAAACTGAAAAGCGATTATAAATAAAATAATTAAGTGAGTTGTTTAGCTAATTTTATATTTTATTGTTTACTGGCAGTTGAGTGAAATGGAGGAGTTTAAAGGGGCCAAGTGTGTGAAGGTGAATGGATACACCACAAAAGCAAGTCAGGTTTCTCACGCTTGATGGTCGGCTTTCATCAACTTGTCTTTTTTATTTAAAAAAATGTTAAAAGTACCGTATTTTTCTTCTTCTTCTAATGAGATGACGGTTGAATGTTTATGTTTAGATTCATGAATATTTTGCTATAAATGAAGAATGAAAGAGAAAAAAATTTAATATAGCACGACTTTTGCATAGTTCTGTTTTACGACAGATAATGTAGAGTTATGAGCACTGGATCTGGATAAATGCAGTTTGAATTCAAGATTATAATAGAAGTTAGTCAAGGTAGTGTTTAAACATAGTATTTTATATCCAACTTTGAGGTCACGGGTTTAACACGCGGAAACAGCCTTTTGTAGAAATACAAGGTAAGGCTTTCAACAGTGGCAGACCCAGAACTTTATTCAAGCGGGTTCAGACACCTACTGAAGTCCTCGGCCACAATCGATAGTACAAGCGACACTGAGCTAACAAGCGAGTTTACCTTGCTCTTTTTATTTTGGTTCTTAACAAAACCTGAAAAAGAGTTTTGCCCGCTACTCCTTTTAGTTTCAAAGCTGCATTGTTTAAAATAATTTATAACCTTACCTAAATTTTAGCAACAAATCTATTTACCTTTACAAATTTAAGAATTTATTAAAACTTTAGAAATTTCTTACCAGTTTTACCGTACAATTATCGATGTGATCTATATTAAAATACTTAAATTAAATACTTATTAATTTAATTTGACTCGCGTTATGGAAGAGAGCTATAAACTAAACTAAACTAATAGTTTCGTAAAAAAAGTTTCAAATTATGTACTAATTTAAAATAAAGAATAAAGAAAAAAAGACAAAGAAGCGTTATGAATTAAAGTTTCATATCTAAAGGATGTCAAATTTTGATAGAACAAAATATGAAGGAATAAAATTAAAAATAAAAAACAAAAATATAATTATACTTTTAAAAATGAAAAATTTACACGGCTCCATCCTTAAACTTGAAAAAAGTGAACACCATTCTTAAACTTGAAAAGATAGAATGTTAAAGTGGTGTATGGTAGTATTTACCTGGCTTTCGTTGATTTAGCACAGTGATAAATAAGAAACATGAGGCCCAGATAAGCTATGGAAAACTTTAAAATAAATGAGAAAAGTGTGTAAGATCAAGGTATCAAACTCACAACCACTTGCAAGCAATGAACCCGCTTGAACCATCTGCCAGCGCACCCCTTTTGTCAAGTGGGTTCAACGGATTATATTTAATGTACATTTGTTTGACAGAAAGTTAATTTCCACATAAAAATAGTAAAAAAAAAATTCGCGAAGCGGGTTCAACTGAACCCCTTGAACCAAGGTGGGTCCGCCCCTGAGGCTGTGTACCCTTCTCTGTCCTCGCGCATAGGTGGAGCTTAGTGCACCGCATTATCCTTTTTAAATTAAAGAGCTCTTTCTCAGAATGTGAGTAATCGAATTCAGTATGTTTGATCTACTGCCCGTTTGAATTGGCTTATTTTAAGTGTTTTTAAGACAAAATAACTTTTAAGTCATTTTGTAGTGTTTGGATAAAGTAAAAAAGTGCTTTTAAGTACTTGTTTTTAAGCTAAAATGATAAAAACAAGCCAAAAGCCAAAAGCTAAAATTCCTAACTTATGGCTTAAAAGCTATTTTGGCTTAAAAGTCACTTAAAATAAGCTCATCCAAACGGGCTCCTAGTGAAATTTTAAACAATGTTCTCAGGACACAAATAGACCCTTCTCCAGTCTTGTCTAAAATATAGTATTTTAAGTGTTTTTAAGACAAAATAACTTTTAAGTCTTTGTAGTGTTTGGATAAATTAAAAAAGTGCTTTTAAGTACTTGTTTTTAAGCTAAAATGATAAAAACAAGCCAAAAGCCAAAAGCTAGAATTCCTAACTTATGGCTTAAAAGCTATTTTGGCTTAAAAGTCACTTAAAATAAGCTCATCCAAACGGGCTCCTAGTGAAATTTTAAACAATATTCTCAGGACACAAATAGACCCTTCTCCAGTTTTGTCTAAAATATAGTATTTTAAGTGCTTTTAAGACAAAATAACTTTTAAGTCATTTTGTAGTGTTTGGATAAAGTAAAAAAGTGCTTTTAAGCACTTGTTTTTAAGCTAAAATGATAAAAACAAGGCAAAAGACAAAAGCTAGAATTCTTAATTTATGGCTTAAAAGCTATTTTGGCTTAAAAGTCACTGTTGACCCAAGGACAGGTGCAAGACTTGGCAAAGGAGAGGTGAGCATGTCTACCAATTTTTACCTGTCTACTTTTTCATACTGCAAGAAGCTAGGTCTGTGAATTGGGTTATGTGCACTAAGAAGAAGTGAATGAAAACCCCCTCCACTTAGCCATATCGTAAGAGAACATGAATAGACTGTTCCCGTCATATACGATGCAGCTAATTTTTGTATGATCTGGTACTTTTTCCTCATAGTACATTGTCTGATGTTAACTTCTCTGCTGAAAGTTCTGCTTTTATATTCTAAAGAAAGATTAATATTGAATATTACTGTCTTTAGCTTCTATCTCGTATACCCATTGGATGCACAGGAAGGCTCATATTACTATTGTAAATCATCTTCTCTCAGTTCCATTATCTAAGAAGAGGTAACTGAAAGTTTTACAAGTAACTATAGTATACCGAGTCTCATTGCGTGTAGGGATTTGTTCTTGAACTTGAATACGGCATGCTGAGGTACATGGGTGCCATTGATGACTCAACACCAGTTGTCACTTCTGGTACATCCCTTTCAAGACGCCCTTCTTCATCAAAGTTTAGCCTTTCGCACTCTTAAAATGCAAACGTTGCTTGTTAGTTAATCCAAATCAAGCTTTTTATTTCCCCCCTATCATCGTGGATGACGAGAGAAATAAATTTGCTTGCTTGTCAAAATTATGAAAGGGTTGTTTCACCGAATGAAACGGAGCCTTGGAGCAACGGTTAAGTTGTCTTCGTGTGGCCTATAGGTCATGGGTTTGAGCCGTGGAATCAACCACTGATGCTTGCATCAGGGTGTCCGCATCTTCACAGACATGTCTATTTCACCGAGCCTCTCTCCGAGACAGTGCCCAGATCGTTACGCCTTTCGTGCGGGTCGGAACTTACACGACAAGGAGGTAGGCTGCCTACATCACACCCCCTTGGGGTGCGGCCCTTCTCCGAACCCTGCGTGAATACGGCATGTTCTGTGCACTGGGCTGCCCTTTTGGTTGTTTCAACAAATCTTGCATTTGCTAAACTGATGTTCATTCTCTTTGGATGGCTTCCTCAGTGCATGATGAACAGCTGGTAGATGACATTCCTGTTGACAAGCTATTGATCCATGATGTGCCGGTTGACATAATATGCACCCCTACTCGGGTCATATTTACAAAGATATCCATCCCAAAGCCTCAAGGTTAGTGTACTCCATACGTATAATTGCTATCGTCAGTGCCTGAAATCTCTTCTTATTTGTATGCATGTATCTTCGTTCGCTCTTTTCTTCTTATTTTTGTTATGTCGAGGAAGAGGCAAACACGAAAATAAAGAAGATAAAGAACACCAAATTTTAACGTGGAAAACCCTTCAAATCGAAGGTAAAAACCACGGGATCACAAAGATCCAAAAAGCTCCACTATAACAATAAGAGGGTTACAAAAGTTCTCCAAATTGGCTACACAACAAGGGCCAAACACAGAGCAACAATAGCAACAAGAGCAACAATTAATCAATTGAAGAAAGAGTATAATTCACAAAACGAAGCTGCTGTTCGAGGCTCGAAATCAGATGCTACGGGCCTCCAAATCCGATCTCCACCGTTCAAATCCAAGATCAAGATGTTACGAACACCCAGTCAAAATTTCAGCCCTATCCAACGGTTAACGAATCAGAAAACGTAATTTGAAGTTGGCTGGTCGGAATAAAAATCTGCAGCAAAACAAATACTTTTTTTTCTCTCTTCTCTCTTGATGAAAGCTCTCTCAAAACCCACTCTTATGTGCTTAAGTCTTTCAAAGACTTGTATCAATGAGAATAGAATAATTCTGCAAGGTTGTCCTATTTATAGATCATGAGTGGTGCTTTCTCTTAAAGCCAAAACTCACTCAAAATAGGAATAAACCGAATCCAATTCCAAATAGGATTGGAAACCAAAAGAGAATAGGATTAGGCCATTGGGCCTTTGGCTGGACAACATGGGCATGTGCCCAACAAACTCCCCCTCCAGCCAAGGGGCCAAATGTGTCTTCAAGTAGAGGAACTATTGACAGTCTTCATGCCTGCCAATTTTCTACAAAATTCATGTTTATCTGCAACCACCACCTTTGTCAGCATATCCGAAGGATTTTCATCAGTGTGTATCTTCTCAACCTCAAATAATTTCTCTTCCACGGCCATTCTTATCCAATGATACTTTCTATTTATATGTTTGGTCTTAGAATGAAAAGTGGAGTGCTTGGTGAGACAGATAGCACTCTGATTATCACAAAATAAGATGTACCTTGGCTGCTCAAAGCCAAGATCATTAATAAACTTCTTCATCCATAATAGTTCTTTGGCACCTTCTGTGACAGCAATATATTCGGCTTCTGTGGTGGATAGAGCTATGCACTTCTGTAGTCTAGATTGCCAAGAAACAGCTCCCCCCTGCAAAAGTGATCAAATAACCGGAAGTCGATCTTGAATTATCAAGATTGCCTCCTAAATCAGAGTCTGTGTAACAAACAAGTTCAGGCTTGCCATTGCCAAAGCACAGCTTCAAATCTGCAGTACCTTTCAAATATCTTAATATCCATTTTACTGCATCCCAATGTTCTTTTCTAGGATTGGAAAGGAATCTACTAACAGTACCAATGGCATGTGCAATATCTGGTCTAGTGCAAACCATAGCATACATCAAGCTACCAACGGCAGAAGAGTAAGGAATACGAGACATCTCCTTTTTCTCTTCATCAGTAGATGGACTCTGACTAATACTCAATTTGAAGTGTTTAGCAAGAGGAGTACTAACCACTTTTGCATCTGTCATATTGAACCTCTTGAGTACCTTCTCAATGTATTGCTTTTGGGACAGAAATAACTCCTTTCTGTCTCTATGTCGGTGGATTTGAATGCCCAAGATTTTCTTTGCTGGCCCCAAGTCCTTCATCGCAAACGATTTGCTCAACTGCTTCTTAAGGACTGCGATTCT